TATATATATAAAGTATAATTTATCATCTTTAAAAGTAGTTTTAAAAGGAAAGAAGAAAACAAAATTATATATTTTGATTTCTTGAAATGTAGTCACGTCACCCTATAAACTACATCATGCCAGTATTTCTACATTTTAGCATTATGTTTTGTTTATTAGCCAATGACGTTTTTACTTTCATTTATGTTCATTTACAGACAGACTGTAAACAAATTTAACGTAATTTAGATAAAATTTTATCTAATGGGCCATTCCAAAAGATATTTCATCTCATGAATTTATTGTCAAATGTAGATTTTTTCACTTACAATTAGCAATGTGAATTTGCATGAAACTCATTCTTCACATATTTTCGGAAATAGGACGAATACGCTAAAAATAGAGAAAGAAGAAGCACTTATGCGCCACTAATTAATGTCGATCACTCTTCCACTAAATACTGTAACTTCACGAAATTAAAATATTAATCGAACTCTATCATGAACGAAGATGGATGAAGAGAAGCAACGATAGCATTAGCAACAATATCACGTCCAGTTGTGGTATCATTGAATGAGAATGACGATGGGATTATTAGAGAAGAAAATTAATCGAAAGATTCACTATTTATTAAGGATATGTCATCTCAAAGCAGTATCAAAAATATAAAAATTTCATAGATTGTTCTATTATTACGTCTAAGTATCTTTGTAAAATTTTAACACAATTCTCTCATAGTTTAAAGTTATTTAATTTTTTTGTTTTCTTTGATCCTTAAAATCGCGTTTTGCAATACTTATTTGCAAATTTATTGAGGAAATAACATTGCAAACTAAATTTTTTATATTTGCTAATAAAACTTTAATAAATATTTATGTAAAAGTTTATTTGAATCCATTTACGCGGTTAAAATTTATTTACCTAAAACTGCAGCAAAATGTAGTTATTGCGCTGCGTAAACCATTTATAAGCCAAATTATTAATTTTGTTTTTTGTAATTGATGTCAAGATATATTTACAACTAAAAAGTTTTTCTGATATTGACTTTTTGACTAATTTTTTGACACTTACTTTTATTGATATTGTACAGCTTTAAGGTTTATAATCGTTTAATAATGAGTGCGCTCGCGCAAACAATCTTTGCCACGAATTAAATGTTAAGCGAGAACCAATTTATTCACTTCACAGTTTAATTTCTAAATATATATACTAATATATAAAAAAAGTCAAAGAGGAATGCCAATTAACTGATTTCAAATAATCTCTTACCTGAAGTTCTTCCTTACACTGACGTTCTTCTTCTAAACTCATACGCTTTTCGTGTTTCTTATAATATCGTCTTTTGGCAGCTTGTAAGTTGAACCATGTATACGAGAAAGACTTCACGAATGGTAGAAGAGCTTCGATAAATGGATGGAATTCATCCTGCAAACATATAATATTTATTCTTTTCATAGGATTGTGCATATTCATGTCGTTTATTAAGCTTTTGCATCTCACAGTTTGAAATTCGCTTTCAAGCACACATGCAATTTCGACTGTCGATATAAAAACACCGAGTATTGTAAATCTCGTATCGGAAAAATTGACGCAAGAGCAAATGACACAAATGACATTACGAATTACTAATTCAATTGAGATTAATTTAATACATTTTGAAATATGTTTGTCAACAGAATAGATAAATATATGTTATATAATAAAGATAATATGAGATTTATCATTGTTTCTCTTAATGAATATAATCTCTCTCTATAATTTTTTAAAGTTTTTAATTAGCTAAAATTGATAAAAAAATAAGTTATTAAAAGAAATCACTTACTTGTGATTTAAAAAAAGGATATCATTTAGTGATACGTTTTAAAGAATAATATACTTCACTTAACTTTATTTAAAAAAAATTTAATCAGTAGCAAAGCAAAGATAAATTGAGAAAAAATTGAAGTAACAGATAGCAATAACACAGTTATACAAATTAATAAATATTCAAAAACTGTCTCACATAAACTGAGACTCATATAATACAATAATTGAATAATTTATCACAATTTACGTATAATACTTTTGAGGCTTCCACGGGTATTTTCTATATAGAAGCAATGTATTTCGCGAGTTGTCTATGTAGTTATACGCATTCTTGGAATGTTAAATTTCATGAACGTGTTCACTTGAAGTTCACTTCATCAGTATAAGCAGCAGTCTGATATCTATACTTATGTATACTTTATATATTTCTATGTGTATATATTTTTTTCTTTTATCCTCCTTTTATCTTCATTTATTTCGTTTAATCATTCTTGTACAAACTTTCTTATTTTATTTATAATATTTTATTTCTTCGCTAATTTTTATTTCTAAATTATTATTTTTATTTTATTATATTTAATTTATTTCTTTTACGTGTGTATGTTAAATAAAATTTATTACGAGTCACTTAATATCAGACATATTAAAGTATTTGACATTTGATGATGGATACTTATGAAAGTTCCCTAGAAAAGGATCATGTAATTTTTTTATCTGAACACAAAAGCACAAACGATTCAAAATGTCACTGCTATATTCTAAAAATAAATAAATAAAATTTAAGCAGTAAAACTATAATATGCTATTAAAAAAAACATTTTTTAATTTTGTAATTCTTTACAATTTAATTCTTTATAGTAAAAATAAAAGTTTATCTTGAAATTATTGACGAAAGTTTATTTATAGTATTGTTTAAAATAATTATTTAAATTAATTTAAATATTAATAATCGTAGTGAAAACCATGTTGTCATAATTCCATTAGTGCAACATTATATTTAAAGAAAATTGAAGGAGATGAACATTTTATATTTTACTCTTACACGAAATGTGTACGGTAAAACTTTATTTTTTGAATTTCAAGATGTTCCTTTTATATCTATATGACTCTTCAAAATTCTTATACTTTGCTTACAATTAAATTACTTAAAATTCCTTAAAAATTAAATTATTTATAGAAATCTACATAGTGAATAAATCTTAAAAAATTTAGGAATTCCTACACATTAATTATAAACTTATTCTTAGTATTTGATTAAATCCTTATATTATCTGAAAAGACTTGGAGAATCTCCTCAATAGTAATGATTTAATCTTATAT